TCGAAGCAGACCTTGTGCTGTTGAAGCTAGAGAGGTGAGCAGTCTAAGTGATTCCCTGTAAAGACTTCTCTGTTGACACCCACCCCTTGGCGCTCATATGACCTTATGCAGTTGCGAGCGCCGTAAAACCCTCTACTATAAAAAAAAAAGACAAAAAAACACTACAACAGATCTCAGTACAAGAAAGTGACCTGATCATTTACATCAGTAGCGAATGTTCCTAGTACAAAGACTATACACTGTATTGGTGACTGTCATTGTCTTATTGGTGGGTGGTTGGCAGGCGCACTAGTGTGGTATGCTCCTTCTTTCCTATCAAACATCAATCGTATTCCTCTCTCCTCCTCCTTTTCGTTGTATGTTACTCTCTAGTAGAAGCACTTCTAACCTTCAGCTCTTATAGGACCTCATTATTTCATTTATGTAACATATTGCGTATATGTGACATTGTGTTTATGCACTACCCCCCACAGGCAAAAACTGCAGCTCTGTGATCAGCAAGTCCAAGTTCAGCCCGTCTTTCATCCCGTTCAGCTGCCACCTGGAGCTGACGCAGGGCACCTTGGACTTCCTCATCTCGGATCTCTTCTCCGTCAAGTCACTCTTTGATACCGAGAAAGGTACCGCTTATTTTTAAGGTTACGATTTCTGTGCCGTGGCTGCTTTGTACAGTTGAAATTGGGGGGGGGTGTTTCCCCTCCTTTCCACCAACCTTGCTCAGTTCTGCTTGCTTTAATAAGTACGTCTGTAACACTCTTTACTATCATCTTCTGTGGGTGGTTGGCAGGTGCTCTGTGTGGTTTGCTTCTTCTTTCCTTTCCAACACCTATCATCCTTATATGACCTTATTATGTTGCAAGTGCCATACTAAACTCACTATATGAGCATTCGGTAACCCTGTAAGTGTTAGAGTGGGTCGTTGGAGGGCGTCACTGGTAGGTCCTACTTCTGTACTTTCCCCTCTGTTGTTTCTGTCTGTCTGTCTTACTTTTTCCCAGCACTAAATGACCATTTTTGTGTCGATGTGCTTCTCTTTACCTCTTTAAACGCTGAGTTTTTTCCACCCGTTTCCCGCAGTTTTTTTCTACAGTCAACTAAACCTGGTGCACTATGTCTCATTGTAACCCCAAAAGCTTGCCTCCAACTTGTAAATGGCAGAAACAATGACTTATTCATTACTAAAAAAGGTGGTTCCAGAATAGTTCCGAAAAACAAGCAAAGACTAGCTCTGAATATAACGAAACAGTTGTCACTAGTACTGGACGCTCCCAGTGTCCCATGGGGTTTAAAGAAAGTCTTGGATGGAGAACTGGGGTCTTAGGATGACGAGGTGCTTCATGCTTCCTCGCCCCTCTTCATGAGGGTTCACTTCAGTGTGGGCAGGCTGATTGTCTCTATCATCAGCTGATGGGGTTTAAAGAGTTAATTTTAAAAAATGTAAGTGTTATTTCATTTTTCTCCCCAGGCCTTCACGGGTGTCAGGTCAGTCTGAGACCCTCGGAGGAGGCGTCAGAGACGCTGGCGGTCCTGGACTCGAACGTCCTGCTCCGGGCGCGGGTGGCTTCCTCTTACTCCCAGCCGGAGGTCTCCTCAGATCCCCTCAGTCTGGAGTTCCTGCCCGCTTTCTACGTCCACAACTACGAGCTCCACCTGACCACCGTGTCGCCTCAAGTGTCTGTGCGCGTGTCCGCGTCGCCGAAAGTGATCTCCGACATTCAGGTTTGTATGTTCAAATGTGAAATGAATGTAGTTGGAGGAGAAGAAGAAGAGAAACATTAACGCACATGCGCACGCACACACAGAGCTGCCAACCTTACACCAAAAAAGCATATTTGTAAGCTTTTTCAGCGATCGTAAGATTTTACACCACTTTGCCGAATTGTACAACTTTTTGTTTGATCCGATGGATCGTCAAAACAAAATCTCGCTCCATTTGCTGTTCCGATTCGTGACCGCCAGCGGTCCAATCTATTATTAATAGGCCCCTATGACAGCAAATGTACTATTGGACGATAACACAAACACCATCACAGTGACTTTTTACAGTCTTACACTTTTTTAGCTAAGATCTTACACTTTTGTGGCTGGTAGGGTTGGCAGCTCTGCACACATGCACACCCACACACACACACACACACACACACACACACACACACGCTCACACACAAACACCCCTTCTTTTTTTTTTACTTTGTAAGGATATTGTTTGCAATGACGTGTCACGTGCGATGTCTGCACTATTAAAGAAACAGCCGCATTTCTTTTGACACACAGTATCTCACCACCTTATATGCACTGCAAACAGGTTTACCGACACAGCATTGCTCGTTGTAGTAACTCTGAAATATGCCATTAATTTATGTTCATATTTTTTTTTTTCGTTACTCTCTAGTAAAACCTAATCTTCAGCTCTTATATGACCTGTTTATGTTGCAAGTGTTGTAAAACACTAAAGAGCAGGTGGTTGGGGGGCGCTACTTCTTTACTTTCCCTCTGTTGTTTCTGTCTGTCTGTCTTACTTTTTCCCAGCACTAAACGACCATTATTGTGTCGATGTGCGTCTCTTTACTCAAACAAACAAAACACTAAAAACTTTTTTTTTAAACCCAAGTAGGTGGTTGGCGGGTGCTCTGGTGTGGTTTGCTTCTTCTTTCCTATCGATCGTCTATCGTCTTTATCTCCCCTCCTTCTTTTTTGTGTTTGTTACTCTCTTGTAACACCTCTAATCTTTGGCACCTATATGACCTTATTGTGTTGCAAGTGGCATAAAACACATACTAAAACTTTTTTAAAAACCTCCCAAAAACTGTGTGTTCACTCGTCTGCTGTTTCTATCAATCAGGTGTCCGTCAGCGACTCGACCCTGGTGCAAGCGCTGGCCCCCGAGCGCGACTCAACGTTGCCATCAGTGATCTCATTCCCGATCCGCCTCCTGGACTCGCTGACCCTGTGGGAGCGGGAGCAGCTGGACCTGTGGGTGGAAGTCAGCCACGCCCGCAGCGGCCACAAGGTCAAGCTGCCCGTCTTTGTCAAGCTCATCGGACAAAAGCCCGCCATCCCGAGTAAGGAGCGTTGTTCTGTTTTGTACGGGAATGGACACACACACTGCTGGCCACAGCGGGTGGTTGGTGGGGGTGCTCTGGTGTGGTTTGCTTCTTCTTTCCTGTCAGACATCTGTCGTCTCTATCTCCCCTCCTTTTTTGTGTTTGTTACTCTCTTGTAACTTATATGACCTTATTGTGAGGCAAGTGTCGTAAAACTCTTACTAAAACTAAACTAAAACTCTCTTGTAACTCCTCTAATCTTCGACACTTATATGACCTTATTGTGTTGCAAGTGCCGTTAAATTCTTACTAAAACAAACCCAAGTAAGGAGCGTTGTTCTGTTTTGTACAGGAATGGGCACACACTGCTGGCAACAATTATTATTTACAGGATTTTGTAATGTGCTACAAAAAATTTTTGGTGGAATAGAACCGCTGTCTTGTTTTGTTTCATCATACTATTATTGTAATCTGTTTTTGGTGAAAGATGGCTGTTCTTGTGAGTGGCAAGAGAGTGGGTGATTGACGAGTGCTCTGGTGTGGTTTGCTCCTTCTTTCCTATAAAAACCTGTGGTCGTTCTCTCTCCTCCTTTTTTGTGTTTGTTACTCTCTTTATACACCTGTAATCTTCTACGCTTATATGACCTTATTGTGTTGCAAGTGCGGTAAAATACTTACTAAAACAAAACTAAGAGAGTGCTGCCGATTATTTCTCCGTCTTTCTAAATATTGTTTGTGTTTTGACTGATGTTTCTACTGTTTTTGTTTTGAATTCCAGATTTGAATTTAAAACATATAGATGTTGTTGTTTTTTTATTCATACGATCGAACAAGTGTACTGCCCTAGACTCATACTAAGACGCGGCATGTCTTTTAAAAAAAAAATTTTTCCTCACCCTTTAGTCGAAGCAGACTTTGTGCTGTTGAAGCTATAGAGAGGTGAGCAGAGTAAATCCGATTCCCTGTAAGGACTTCTCTGTTGACGTCCACCCCTTGGCGCTCATATGACCTTATGCAGTTGTTGCAAGCGCTGTAAAACCTCTACCAAAACAAAAACTAGGATTGGGGGGGTTTGATTCCTGGTTTTGACTGACTGTCTGTCTGTCTTGCTTCTTCCCCGCACTATATGACCGGTATTGTGTCAGTGTGTTTCTTGTCTCTAAAACTGAAAAACTATATATAGTCTTCTTCAGTGCAGGTTGCAAGCGCAGTAAGACCTCTACTAAAGCAACAAAACTTTATTCTTCTCCCAGACTTGCACGCGTACCGTCAAGAGCTGAGCTGGTCGCGCCTCCTGAGCTCCACGGTCACCAACTACCAGTCCTGGTTCGTCATCTGCTTCATCGTGCTGCTCACAGCCGCTGCCGTCCTCATAGGTAATGAGAATTGATGATAAAGAAAATAATTGATGATAATAAAGAAAATAATTGATGATAATAAAGAAAATAATTGATAATAAAGAAAAATTAAGAAAATAATTGATAATAAAGAAAATAATTGATAATAAAGAAAAATTTAGAAAATAATTGGTAATAAAGAAAATAACTGATAATAAAGAAAATAATTGATGATGCTAAAGAAAATAATTGATAATAAATGATAATAAAAAGATCTTATTTTTTGCCTGAGCTGTAATGGGTTTTTTAAGAATTGTTTTTCTTCTGTGTACCAGGTTATCATGCCATTGTTGGACAGCGCATGAAAGGGCTGGGTAACCAAAGTGGCAATCCAAACGTGTTCTTGAACCAGAGTGGCAGCAGCCAGCAGCCGTCCCCATCTACATCTTTTATTCAGCAGTCGACGCCGATAGGTATGATGGTAGTAGATTTTATGTGTTTTGTGGTGCCCAGGGTTGTAGACCCAGTTGGAGAGCAGAGGTCAACAGTTGTGAGTGCCGTAAAATTTTGACCCAACGACCTAAAAGGGCAGCAATGCATATGAGCGAGGCCTTGCGAATTAGAAATGCTGAAGCCTGGAGAAGCCTGCAAGCTAAGCATATCCGCAAGTGGGAGTGAAGCTTTTAAATTTTCAAAGAGTTGGCAAACTCTTCTCTTCTACAATTGGTCTCCTTGGTCGTAGCAGAACCTACAGGTCATCTTAATCCTTTTTTTTTTCCTTTTGTTTCAACCAAAAAAAATAGGGTACCAACTTTTAATTGTGTAAAAAAATCAAGTCTTTTGAGTCTTTCACATGAGTAATACCAAAGATAGTAAATAACAAGATGGGCCACTCAGCCAAAAAAGTGTCCGCAGGAAGTATGCTCTTTGCTTCAGATGGCGCTGCAGTCTGTTTTGAAGCTCTCTTTCATTTTTCCAGAAGAAGAATAGGAATAGCACCTCCTTGCATGCGCAGATCGACTGCTGTTCATCAGCAGTTCGGGTTCGTTCAGTACGGAGTTTTAGTTTTTTAAAATTTTAATGACCTCTCGCCTTTCATTCTAAAGTCAAATTAAACGAAGAAAACAATCACCCTTTCCTCCGAAGAGGTTTTTTTTTGTCAGCGTAACCATTTTAAAAAAGCTTTCTTCTGAAATTCATTCAAAAACTTGCTAGTTTCACTTTGATTTTTTAAACTCAAGTAGGATAACTCTGTTCGCTAAAGGTGCGCTTTTTTGAGGACGCTTTTTTAATTGGCTCAAAGAGAGAAGTGGCCCCTCTTGTTATGTAGACTCTTTGGTAACACGAAGTACTCTAAAAAAAAGTAGGTTATGTTATAAAAACATTTGGTGCTCAACACTTTGCAGCATCATCTCGCCGATTGGCGATATTTACCACCCAGTTTCTTTGGATTTACCCCCAAATATGATGGCAAAATGTTAATTAAATAAGTGTTCACAGCACCCACATTTAAAAAAATTAAAAATTGGCAGATTTAAAAAAATTCTTTTGTTTGTTATGAAGTTGGGTCTCTGTTTAGCAAAAGCTGCAATACTATTTGTGTCATGACGTGGTGGAATCAGGCGCTCGTCAATTTTTGGGCCAACGGAGTTATTGGTATCATCTGAAAGCTGAATTATTTGCCTTGCTTCCAATGAAAGAAATCTCCATTTATCTTGAATAGAACTCTAGATATTTGCGATTGAAGGAATCGAGATTGCCTGGTTTCAGTGGTGAAATTAGCGAGGAAATGGCCGCCAAAGTTTGGTAGCTCCAGTTGCTAAAGAGTGTTAGAAGACTGAAAAAAAATGACATATTTTATGCCGTAATCAATGTTTTTCAGTAAAATTCACTTGGAATGTGTTTTTATATATGGACATAGAGGAGGTTAAGCCAAAATATTAAAATTGGATAAAACGTCCAAACTGGGGAGAAAAATACCTGTTTCTCCAATTTCGTTATTTTGACGAGCGCCTGATTTCACCAAGCTGCCTCACATTTGATCATTGTCACCCAAGAAAGATGCTTGGTTTAGCTTGACATCAGAGAAATCGAGCCATTGGCATGACATCAGAGAAATCGAGCCATTGGCATGCTCCACGTGTTTCTGCTGTTGCGAGGACATTCATCGTCAACAGAAAAACACTACTCTTACCAGAACTTTAAAAAATAAAACAACCTCACACTTGTGGTTTTTATTTTCTTTTTTCTCCAGGGAGCCCTTCCTACACTGGCCGACCTTCACCGACCTCGCCCAAATTATGGTCGTTGTCGTACAACCAGCAAGACTCCATGTCGCCGTACAAGAGGAAAACCTACTCGTACTCACCAAATTCTTGATTTGAGGACACATGCATTTGTTCGTATCCCCTCCCCTCCCCCCCCTCCCATGTTGATTCTCACTTGAGTATGCTTTTCTTAACCCTATCCGTACACCCTGGGGTCGTGTTGTACTCCCAGGGTTGTATTCTACACATTTTAGAATACTTCTAGTCCGAAGATCTCTTTGAAACTTTCAGTATTTATCAAAAAATCATTTTAACAGACTGCTAAGTAAAGCGTACGGATTGGATTAACGAGTAAATTTCCTGTTTGGAAAGTGGGGGCACAGGAGTTCCCCACGTCGTATGGATACGATAGTAAAACACGGTGTACGGATAGGGTTAAATAGACCGGGGGAAAAAAAAGTAACTTCAGAAACTGAAAATACTTACTGCACCCATGCTTAAGCGGTGTCGGACGCCACAGTGCCACATTATTGCTTTGCACTTTATCTTACCCGGTTTGTAATTTTGTAAAAAAAATTTCTTCTTTATGTGGACCTAAATTGAAGAAATCACGTCTGAATGGTATATGATTTTTATTTCCTAATTTTTTATCAGCTGATTATCTGAGAGAATTTGTCAGGATGATTTTCATCATTGTAATTTTGAAAGTTTTTTTTTTTTTGTGGGTTTTTTTTCTCTCACACATTTATTTGATGAGACTTATCAGTATGGTATTTCATTCCAAAGCATTATAATGTAATCATGTTGTTTGCTTCTTTGTTTGAGCAGGCAGACTCAGGGTTTTTATTCTGCACCGGTTGCTGCATTGCTGTTATTGAGTTGGGTTTTTTTTAGCTTTGGGGGGGGGGGGGGGGGGGGGGGTTTCTTCCATTTTTCAGCTTTGGGTTTGTTTGGGGTTTTTTTTAGGGGGGGGGGGTGGAGAGGTTGGTCGTTGTGTTATGCAGCCTGGCTAGGGTAAAGTTTTGAATTGCTTGAAGTCGAAGAAAAAAATTTTCAGCTGACAAATGTTGTCTGATCTCCGATTTTGCATGATGTCCTTTTAGTTTATTGATTTGATTACTCATGGTTTGCGACAGCTGCTTCATTCCGGCCTGGGCGAGGACCATGTTGTGTTGAGATATCTGAGTAAGGAAAGTAGCGGAAATTTGACGTGAATCCAAGGATCTGGGGGCACTCGTCAGCTGTTTGGTCTTATTTTCTGTTTTCTGGGGGGTTTTTTTTCATGTATTATGATGACCGGACTGGAGATTACGGTACTCATGGTTTGTGACAGCTGTTTCATTCCGGCTGTTGTCAGCTGTTTGGTCTTGTTTTCTGGGGGTTTCATGTCTTATGATGACCGGACTCGAGACGGAAATCAAACTGGCATCTGTAACGGTGTAGCAGTTAGGCGCTGTCGCATGCTGGAGACCCGAGTTTGATTCCCGAGCGGGGAGAAAAATTTTATCGAGTATCTCGGCCTTTCTGATCTCCGATTTTGCATGATGCCCTTTTATTTCATTGATTATTCATTGCTTATGACAGCTGTTTCATTTCGGAGGAAAATTCTATCGAGTATCTCGGTCTTTCAGCTCTGGTTGGCTCTGACTAGGAGGGTCGGAAGCCCGCCTCCTAGATGACATCTAAATGATGTCGTAGATGGGGTTGTTACAAACACCTACATTATTATTATTTTTATTTTTTTCAGTGCTGATAATTTTCCACGGATTTCCGCTTTTTTGTTGTTTCCGAAATATTACTACAAAAGTACACATACCTTTAAAAGGTATGTGTTATATTATTATAGTTAGTATTAGAGTTCTATGTTGAAATTTCAGGATTGCAACTGGGTCGGAATATTTTCCTCTTTTTTTACTTTTTATCATTATCAGCAGTTTTTAAAAAAATGGGGATCAAATACCTATATGTTGTAATGTTGCTGTGGGTGACACAGTGTTGCTGTTCCGAGCTCCGGAATCATAATCCTAGGATTGGGGTGGGTGGTTGGCGGGTGCTCTGGTGTGGTCTGCTTCTTCTTTCCTTTTAAACATCTATGGTCGTTATCCCCCCTTCTTCTTTTTTTAATGTTTGTTACTCTCTTATAACGCCTCTAATCTTCTGGCGCTCGTATGACCTTATGCAGTTGCGAGCGCCGTAAAACCTCTACTAAAACAAAAACTGGGATTGTTGGTTTGATTCCTGGTTGTGACTGTCTGTCTGTCTGTCTTGCTTCTTCCCCGCAATATATGACCGGTATTGTGTCGGTATGTTTCTTGTCACTAAAACTGAAAAAACTATATATAGTCTTCTTCAGTGCAGGTTTGTGTTTTTAGACTTTGAAAGGCCTGATAATGGGAAGGCTCATGTTTGATGGGAGCAGGAACTTCGGAGAGGTTTTGTCCAGGGCCTTTGATTGATAATGTCACTGAATATCAGCGTCGCCATTTTGGGGTTTGGTCCTCAAAGCATGTTTTTGAGGTCTCTTCCTTTCTAGTCTTCGTTTGAATTTATGATGTGGATTTCCGACAGTATAATTTTTGTTTGTTTGAATATAATACGTTAAAAAACTGTGAAAAATTCTTCAGAACGTGATGTCTTGTTGGGTGGTACTTTTATAGATCTTTCATGTTGACGGTTGTTTGTTGACAGCTTTGCAATTGTGTCGATCGGTACTACCGGCAGAATCAAGGCAAGGTTTTTCCTGTAGTGCCTTCTCTCGCCTTAAAGTAAAGTTGTTTCCGCATCCGATCCGGACTTTTGGGGGATTGCCTTGTTTGTGAGACAACTTCCTGGGCCTTCGGTGTATTGTGGTAGGGTGGCCAGTCCCTTTTCACGCTGCCTCTACTTCCCCAACTCCAAGTCAGGTACCCATTCCTGGGGGGGGGGGGGGGGGGGGATTGGTGTCCGAACCGCACCTTCTCTCTCGACATAGGTAAGAGAATTGTCTTCAATTTCCTCTCATCCTGCAGAGGGTGGGGCTGAGTGCTCTCCTGTGACATGTCATTCCTGTTGTAGGGAAATGAGTAGGTTTTTGGCGGATGCTCTGATGTGGTTTGTTCCTCTTTTTTTTTCAATCAAACATCTATCGTCCTAACCTCCCCTCTTTTTTTTCTTTTTTCCTGTGTATGTTACTCTCGAGTAGCACCTCTAATCTTCGGCACGTTATGACCTGATTATGTTGCAAATGCTGTGCGTAAAACTCTTACTGAAACTAAAAAGAAAGACTCTGCTTTACATACTGAGTAACAAACCCCCAACAACTTTGGAGTTAGTACAGGTACTCATTCTTCTCACAACAAGATGCCATTTTGTCTGTAGTCGGGTGTCAATCAAAATCTGCTAGAAGAACACTGCCGAACAAAAGCTTCTATCGTGGATCTGTGGCTTGGGAGCTCATTTCAAAATGAGAATTCTTGTTGTTTTTTTCTCTCTCTCTGCAATGATCAAATTCTGTGAATCAATCAATTGTTAATGCCTGAACTAAAAGTATTTCTTTCTATAATATATTGTTGTTGTCTTGAGGACTTGAATTGTCGAATCTTGTTTAGCCGACGTCAGTGTGGGTGGTTGGCGGGTGCTCTGGTGTGGTTTGCTTCTTCTTTCCTATCAAACATCTATTGCCCTTATCTCCCCTTCTTCTTTTTTAATGTTTGTTATTCTCTTGTAGCAACACCTCTAATCTTCTGGCGCTCTTATGACCTTATGCAGTTGCGAGCACCGTAAAACCTCAACTAAAAGTAACTTGCCAACGCCAGTGGCTGAGGATCCCATCTGCTGTAAATATAACGTGTTAGGGCGGGGACGGTTAACACTTTGCCGCCTCATCTGGCCGATGGGCGATGTTTACCACCACCCAGTTTCTTTGGATTCTCCCCTGAATATGATGGCAAAGTGTTTAGGGGTGTTGTTCTGATTTTGAAGGGTTTTTCTAAGGGTTAGACATTATTAGTCTTTGTGGCTTGGGCAGTCGAAAGTGAATATATACGTGTATAGGTTGTTGTTTCATTATATCGGTGTGGTAGGTCGGCGTTTTATTTATCGCGTGGTTCTTTGTTGTGCTGGCCAGTGTTTTGTGTTTTTTGAGTATGCTTTTGAGTGAGGTATCTGGTATCTGCATAAAAAAATTCTTTTTTGTGTGTTCTATGTATTTAGTTATGCATATTTTTTTTTAAATATGTTGTGGCTTGTACTCTTCATTGTTGTTGTGAGCTTGTTCTGACTATAACGGTGGCTGCAGTTTGTTGTTCTGGCTGGGTGCAATTCTTGATTCTTCTACTTCTACTTTTGTTTTTTTTATAGAATTGAGATTTTTGTGAAGGGATATATAAAACAGGTTGTCTGAAATTGAGCGTTGTTGTGATTTGGTCTTTTGTAAGTGCAATGTTGATCGCAGTTCTTTTGTGTACTAGGATTACATATATGAATGCCAGTCGCATCTCTTTCTGTTGTTAACATTGTGTCAGCATTTTTTCCCCCTCCTTCTTTAGATAGAAATACAAATTGTCGTTGTGGATGTTTGGCGGCCTTTCTGGTGCGGTGTGCTCCTTCTCTCCAATCGAACATCTATCATCCTTATTATCTCTTCCTTTTCTTTGTATGTTTCTCTCTAGTAACACCTCTAATCTTCAGCACTTATATAACCTATACGTTTTGCAAGTGCTGTGAAACTCTTGTAAGAAGTAAAGTGAAAACGTGTCGCTGTTTGAAATGTTTTGAGTTGCGAAATGTAGGCTACTCTGGAGTTCTTTTAACTTTCAACATTGTACTCGCTTTTGTAAAAAAAAAAATGTTCTTCAGTGTAAACAGTTGTCTCAGAGTTCCATTTTTTTGTTTTTGCATACATGTATATATTTTTGTTTGTTAATTATTGGTTTGTTTGTAATAAATCCTACTGAGAAAATAGGCACGGAAGTCTCAGGGCTCCTCCAAAGATGTTTGAGAGTGAAGTAAGAGTTAGAGGCTGACGTGTGCTGTTGGTTTGATGGACAGTTGTTGATTGTAACTGTGCCATTCCCAAGCACCGGCAGCTTCTTTTCCCCAAAGGGTGTAAGCCACATAGTATATTGTTCCCCAAGCACATATTTTAACTCGAGTTCTTATTAACGATAGAATTTTGTGATTGTAAATGGGCTGATTCATCACTTGATAGTGGAAGCAGACTTTGTGCTGTTGAAGCTAGAGAGGTGAGCAGAGTAAGTCTGATT